GGTAACAGCAACAACAAAAAAGTGCCCTCGAGCGGCAGACCAGTGTGTCACTGCTGTTGTTAGGGGAAATTATTTGAATTTACAATGTAGAAGCAGAGGAAAACGCCAAGGACTCCGCTCATTTAGTGTTACACTAAAGGGCTTATGGCAATTTTAATAACTCTATTTGGTCCACTAAACATTTCTCATGCTTTCGGGACCCCAAACATCGTGAGTGTGATTCATTATAAAAGAGTACGTACCGTGATATCAACTTAAATGTCCTAGAAGGCGGATCATCCTAGCGCCATATATTTTCTGTATTCAGTTTACATGCAAAACCACGCGGTGCTTTCACTCGGAAGAACTGATCCTAGTATTAGGGACAAACCACACAAAATAGTGGTGGGTCGTTCAGCGAGTAATCTTTAATTCCTTCCCTACTGTTAACTACACGGAATCGAAATTTCTGCATGTAAAATAAACCCAACTAAACGTTTTTTCGCCTTCTAAGATCTTCCTGTTGCTAAGACCTTCCTCCCTCAACGTAAACAGCACCTAACAATAGAATGGACAAGGGAAAGATACCATGGATTCCGTTAACAATTCATATTCAAACAGCTTTAAACGGAATACCTATATAGTCTGACCGCATCACATTCCTTTAATTAGCCACCGTTTAATTTGTGGATCAAAGGGGTTCCATTATAACTCTTTGCATCAGAAACAAGAGACACAAGGATATTTTTTTACGTCAACGTTAAAATTGGAACAACTCCTCCAAATTAAGGCGGGGGGGGGGGGCTAAAAATAGCAAGATAGAATCTTTAACATACACGTAAATCCATGTTTTGACTCTTCGCATAATATTGTACTCGCATTGATAATTTACTTCTTAAACGGAGGAAGAGATATAGACCAAAAGGGTAAGCACGAAATTATTTTCATTAGGACTGAGGATTATTACAGGACTACAGGTTGGTTTATTTAATTTACGCCTAAGTTATATGCGTAAAGCTTTAGTTTAATTTGGCAGGAACAATATAAATTCTCCTATTTCAGTCCTTTTTCGCTTTATTTCAGGATAAAAGATATTTGTACTTTACGAGGCCTGGGATGTTAAGTTCATTTATACTACATAAAGAAGATTAGTGCTTTGAGTGACTGTCATTCATTAACAGTTCTATACAATTCCTTTAAGGAATAGGAAATGTAGACCTTAATTAAACTGTTTTAACCGAAGGGAAAATTAATTAATGCCCCTCAAAGTTAAATTGCCCCATTTTTTGAGCAATGACTTAAAAGAAACTATCTGTTTGTTCTGCCAGTCATGTCTTTTCAAGAAATAATATACATGCAGCATCTCCTTAATTCTTATTAACACGTCATCTCTTTTCCCTAGCAGAGCTTGGATCTATTCTCAAAATGGAATTAATTATTATTTTAAAGATGTTATATTTCTTCATAACTTTCTTCACAAGCAGCCAAGAAGTTGTCTCACAAAGAGGTAAAATATCGTTAAGATATTACGTGTAATTGGGCAATATCTTAATTGGTGCATTCTACAAAATGACAGTAATTTAATAAACAATAATCTTACAGTAAATGCGTGATTTTAAGCGATGATTAACCACGCATCAGTCACAAAATCACACAATTTACATTTTGATTTTACTTCAATAATCTCTTACATGGTTTTTAGAGAACTTAACAAACCATCCTTGGTTGGTGATAAAAGTTTTGAAATTTCACCGTGTCTGAACTCAGAAACCCTCAGTCAATGAGTTAATACAACTGAAAAGAAAACTGATAAAAATGTTTGATGGCATTTTTAGAGCACAATTGACAGAGGACAAAATCGGTACAGTATCATTACCGGTGAGGAAAGCCCCATGGAACTTTATTTGCTCAAAAGGCCAGCATAATAGTTGGGTATTGATGGTCAATTTTCTTTGTGTCATCCCCCTGCCATCCCCCTCGTCATAATAAGTGTTTTCAACAAGGCGGGGGGGGAATTCATGGGGGCAGGGGGCAATGCTACAACGCAATATTATCGGATGATATTTGGTTTACTAATCCAGCCCAAGCTGATTTCTTTCATGGAATGCTTCCCGCAAACAATATAGGCTCTATCAATCAACAAAGCAGCTATATATGCAAAATGATAAAGGGAAAAAAAAATATCCTCCTTTTTCAGCATCAAAATATATTAAAGAACAAGAAATTAATAAGAATTCTTGGAATACGTTTCTAGGAAATAATTCTTAAACACTGAGAATCACTCAAATTTCTGTAAAACTATTTATTGTGTTTTACGTTTTTAGCCCCCAAAAAAGAATAAAAATTGAATCAATTTGTGCCATGTTTTTTTAAGTCTTTGCTAATATGAGGCGACTGTCTGACTGCAAACAGGATTTCATTTATAGTCTCACAGTGACTTTTCGAGTTAAGCCTGCTGCATTTTGGTTCATTCAACAGGCCGGGCGTCATTAACAGCATTAGGGTGTTACAGAGACAGTTTTGGTAGGCATCGCATATTTTCGAACTTATTCCTGCGAGTAAACGTCAGAAGAAGGCGGCCAAATGTGGACCACATCACACAAGCATGTGCAAGAGCAGCCGTTGCTAAGGGATATAGAATATTTTCCATTCAGAATTTTGTCGAATGTCGTTGGGGACCCACAGCTGAGCGTGACTATGCTAGATACGGATATGGATGGTATTGCTACAGTGGGCTGGGGTGGTATGATTCTGGAAGTGTCTACAGTATTCAAAGCTCAACTGCAGGTTAGTTTCTGGTTGCAGTTAAAGGCCCGGGGAGTACTCAACAAATGTCTGTAGGGGGAGGCTCTGCCCGGTCCAACTCCTTACCCTTTTATTTACCATTTTTCATGAAAAAGGTACCCCTTTCGTTTACCTTCTATCAACAAAATGGTACACATACCTTTTCACATACCTTGTTTAGAACTTTGCATCGCTTTTAACTGCTGTCAGAAGTACACTGTCCTCTAAATAGGAATCAATCACGACTTTATAAAGCCATAAAATTCATCTGTTAGCCCTTTTGGGCCCTTTCACAGGCCCAAATGACAGATTTCCCCACCCGTTTATATACTTCAACTAGTGAAATCCCTACCCTTTCATATACCTGAAGTAAAGGTACTCCCTTCGGACGATGCCTCCCTTTAAACGCTAATTCCACATTTCCCAAAATGCACTTTATTTGCTCCCAGAATTTTGCAGAGAAATTGAAAACAATGCCTATGCAAAATTTTGGGGTGCAAATCAGGTACATTTTAGGAAATGTGAAAGTGGCGTGTAAGGCCATCATAGGGAGTACCCCAACTCCCCCCCCCCTATGGGGATTTAAATGGGGCTGTGTTACGATTGTTATCAAAATTCTATCAGTAGGAACTGGCACCAAAATGAGTGAAGCATAAATTAAAATAATTTCTAAAAACATTCGAAGAAGGTATAAATAAGACAACGAATACGAAAGTAGGCACCGATAGATAAACTTCGAGATTAAAACCGATTGAAATTGTGGATTTTTGGAACCTAGCTCGTTAACCTTGTTTTAAAAAAAACGGGCTGAAATCTAACATTTCTCCTTGCTACAGTGGTACGTTTTAACATTATGTAGCCTGCAGAGCACGCGTTTTTTATCGAAAACTCGGAGGTACATTGATCGTGGCCGCCATCTTGAAGACCTCTCCCTTAAAAACACTTTTTGACTCGTCCCAACTCTCTGGTAGTATTAACGTCCAAGATGGCGGGACAACGTCATTCCTGGAAACAATTCATGGATCCCGCCCCAAAATACGCCTGCTTTGCAGGCTAACATTATGGGTTGTGGTAGTCTTCTTGATGACTTTTTTTTAAGTAAAGTCTATTGATTTAGATTACGTTGCGTGAAATACGACCATTTAACCTATATATTTGGCAATTTGTATTACATCAGTCAATGGGCAATGGACGAACTGGTCTCAATGGAGTCGATGTAGTAGAACTTGCAATGGTGGAACTCGTTCGCGCAGGCGCAGCTGCACCAATCCACCGCCGTCGAACGGTGGCGCCCCATGCTCTGGTCCCAGATCCCTGTCTCAGTTTTGCGGAAGAATCCCTTGTCAATTTATAGGTGTGTGGATTTTGATTCTGCAATTATTTCACTTGCACTTTTTCTTGGCTAATTTGGCAATGCAGGGTGGCAATATTGATTCTGTCTTCTTCACGAATAGATCGAATACATATTGGAGACGCGATGTTGGCAATCAGTCTCTATCCCAAATTATCTTCAATACTGTTATTTGTTTATTTATTCTTTCATTTATCAATTTATTTGTTTTTATGCTACAATCAGCTGGGGGAGTCTTATCACATTGGTCCTCTTGGAGCCCATGCACCAAGTCTTGTGGCGGAGGAACCCGAACGCGTACACGTAGCTGTATGAATCGCCCATTTTCTAGCTTCGTCCGTCCTGTTTGCAGTGGACATTTGTCCGAGGATCAGCAATGTAACAACAACAGATGCGTGGTGCCAGGTAACAAGTGTAATGTCAATCGCAAATAAAAACAATTGAGTGTAACATCAAGCAGCTCTGGTAGGGTATGCTTTTCGTCTCTTTGACTCTAAAGGGGGGAGTATGTTACATTTAACGATTATTCTTTGAAATCGAGGTGAATAGTGGCTAAATATTTACGGCGCAGCGAAGCGGCGAGGTAAATATTCCTAAAGCCACTATTCACCGAGATTGAAAAGAATAATTGTTTCAGTATATACACACGAAGTGATCTCAACAGTAATAATGATGATTTGATTATGATTAACATAAGGGTGCAGGTTATAGTCGGTTAAGCATAAGATGTTAAAAATTCTACTAAGGGCAACTGGGAAACAGCAAACAGTGGGGCTAGGAGAATGGGTAGGTGTGTTAACAGTTTCTAAGATTTATACTGATCAACTTAAAAAGGGATTATGAATTTGGATTTTGATTATAGCTGCCACAGACTATTAATTTCAATTTTTGTACAGTAAACGGCGGTTGGTCTCAATGGCAAGCCTGGGGACCTTGCTCTAGAACTTGTGGTATTGGATCGCAGGCAAGAAGTAGAACGTGTACAAGTCCTCCTCCCAATAACGGAGGTGCAAGCTGTCCTGGTCAAAACGTCCAGACTAGAAGATGCGGTTCCAACAACTGCCCGGGTTTGTTTAAATGCGTGATTTTGTTTCCTACATGAGCGTGTTACCCCAAAAGTGGCAAAATTGGCTGTAGTCAGCTTTTTCAAGCTCTAACAAAAATGCAAGTAGTAATCGCACTTTCTAACCAATTGAATGCACCGAAAATAAGAATGATTCCCCCACCTCCTCCTTCCCCCAAATGTAGCAGTAATGAAAAGAAAAAACATATAGTAGGTTTTACCATCCTTTTCAGTGGCTGTTGCATTGACATGGCTAGACCCTTTGCTGGCAGTTTAAACATCACGGTCAAAATTCACCTACATGAGACGGGTACCTCCCAAAAACGGACAACGTGAGATAGTCTCTGCAGACTTTCAGTCATTTTCTACGCCCCTCTTTAAAGCGGAATAGTTCATGGACGGGACAAATGATGTCTGTCCCGAAGATGTTCATATGCTATTTTACGCAAACTGAGACACTTTTTGTATTAGTGAATGGTCGATGGTCGGCTTGGCTTTCCTGGGGTGCATGCAGTAGAACTTGTGGGGGAGGAGCGCAGCGAAGATCGAGAACTTGTACCAATCCGCCGCCAAGAAATGGGGGTGCCGCTTGTTCTGGAGGGAGATTTCAAACACGACAATGCAATTCAATTGGCTGCCCAGGTACATTCTTAATCGTAAACACAGTTCAAGAGAGTATCATGCTCCATACTAACTTAAGCAGAAAGCGCTTATCATCTCCGTTCATCAAACCCTTTTGTAGCCTGAGAGAAGAGTCGACATTTCCCGACGCCATCACTGGTTTCCCTACGACATGACGTCCGACAAACGGACGCAGCAATTCCATACGGATGACGCGTCACTACCCAGATCTGGGGAGTGGTTCTGTTTGGCTGAAGCAAATTTCCCACCCGGATCGAACAATCAGAAGCACTACACGGATCTGGGTAGTGACCCGTCATCAGTGAGGAATTTCTTCGCTAACCGTATCTCGGACGACATCACGCAAGGAAATCCAGTAGTGCCGCGTCTGGAAATGTTGGCTGTTTTCTCGCGCTAACACTCTCTTGTTTAAACTGGTTCTGAAAACGTGCCTAACATAAGTTTAAGCGCGTGGATTATGGGCTTATCTGATTTTCATTCATTTTTTGATCTGTGATCTATACACGGTGAAATTCAAGATTCCATGCAGTAATTGTATTTATTCGGTCCCAAGTCATCAAAAGTTCAACGAATATTAAGTGCATCGTGATGACACAATTCTTTGATATCTCCACAAGGTTGCGTGGAAGGAAGCACGACATTAGACAGATGTGGACAGCGTTGCAGATGCTCAGGTGGCCGGCTTATCGACTGTACTCGAATTCGGCGAGAGTTCACAACCATGACGACGGGCGATAGGGAAAAGTACATCAGAGCAGTTGTCACTGCATCGACTGACTCCAGGTACAAAGCGGACTATGACCGACTTATTACACTACACAAAACCATATTCAATTCAGGCATTCACGGAAGAGACCATTTTTTACCATGGCATCGTTGGTTTGTCCTACAGTACGAAAACATTCTCCGCCGTGTTGACTGTCAAGTAACGGTACCTTTCTGGGACTGGAGCTTGGTCCCACGGACATGGCGAAATACAGGTGTGTGTTATTGTTTTCAAAATAATTTCATTTACTCTAAAATTTCTGAAAGGTTTTTGTTTCTGCGGATGGTTCCATAAACAAAGAGCGCAATAAAGAGCGTTAACAGAAACTCACACTTAACAGTAGCTTACGAAATTGTTTCCGCGACAACGGAAAAGACCAGGGCCTTTTTTTTAAAGAATTCAACTTCTGATTACACGAAAAAGACGTTTTCTAACGAATGTGTGCAAGTTTACCTTATCATTTTCATTCCTGAAGAAAACATATTGGTTAAAATCGAGAAAACGTACTGTCACGACAAAGCTATTTTTCTACGTAACACTTTTGCAGGTCCGTCTTCCATTTGGTTCGGTGGGAACAGTGGTTTTGGTGGAAGTGGGGAACAGGCAGCCACGCGATGTGTGAGAGATGGTCCCTTTAGGCGAGGAGTGTGGAATGTGGTACCATCTGCCGATCAAAATGGATGTCTTCGTCGCCAGTTTAACCAAAGTGAAAATGCCCCCAATTCCATCGCAGTGGCAGCTATGCTAAGATTTGGGCCTTCATCCTTCTTTGACTTTGAACTAACCTTGCGAGTTTTTCTACATGATCCTATTCACTGTCTTATTGGAGGTACATTTTCTTCAACGTGTAGATACTATCACGGTTGCATCTTTTGGAAACTAAATTTCTAATACCTTATTGGTACTTAATTTTGCGGTTTTCGCGACTGTAAAAAAATCGCGAAATTTAAAACACCCGACATTGAATACCCATATAGGAAATTCAAATCACATACACACACAAAAATAATGTTGAGAACGTTTAATGTATTGTGAAAATCAATGCCCTATTTTAAAATTTGCCTATTGCAATCGCGAAAATAAAGCCGCGGCAAATGCTCTCGCCAAAATCGCGAAGTACCCGCGACGATAACTACCAAAAAGATGTTGTGGCTGCCTCGATTAGGAAATGACTTGAAAAAAAAAATTCTTAAAATACCCACAGCACCAAACTCCCAAATTCACACGAAATTAGCTGACTGAGTGTTCCCAACACTCATGTTTAGATTTGTCCACCCTTGCAAAGGCTTTCTTCGATTTCTCTTTTTCCTCCTTTAATTTTGAGGGAAATCAATTTGTTTGAGGAAAAATGACAAAAATCCTCAGGGTCCAGGGAAATCCCTACTTGTCTCTTGTTTTTTCCGTGCTAAATCTTATCTTCATAAATATTTTTTAGAGACGTTTCTTGTTTTCCTGCGTGTTTGTGTTCTATGTCCCATTTGCGTCCTTCGACATAATTTGCTCTCCTAAGTCGTATTTTTTTTCCCATCCCAATTTAGTTTTACATAACTTTCGTTTCTTTAGCTCGTATGGGAAAAATAATAAGGTTGTTGTTGTTACCCATTAGGCCATATGTGTACTTTCGATTCAGCCGTCGCCCCAGAGTTTGCCCTTCATCACAGTTTCGTTGACAAGATCTGGATGGACTGGCAAAGGCAAAGTAATGCTCATTTGAACGCTCACTTTCCTGGAGTAGCCAACAACATGACTGGCACGGAAAATCTTCATCCTAGAGATGTATTGGATAATTCTCGATTACCCGGGGGCGTGAGGGTGGAGTATCAAACCTCACGGAGACCGCAGTTCCTAGGTGCTCTGCGGCACACAGGAGGTATGACCTGCATTGACTTAACCAACTATTTGGCCATCAGCACCGAAACCAATAAAATCATTTTAAGATGTTTCAAACTGACCCGGGCCCCCACCATATTTATTCGCATTTTGCACATTTCTCATAATACACCTTCTTTGCCCCCTTCCCCCCCCTCCAAATTTGACATAATAATTGTTTTTAATTTCTCTTAGGACGACTTACAATGCCCAGGAGAAATGAAAAACAACGGCTATACGCCACTTGCACATCTCCCATAATGCATCTCATTTGCCCCCAAAATTTTGCATAAGCATTGTTTTCAATTTCTCCTAGGATGGCTGTAATACCCAGGAAAAATGAAAAACAAAGGTTATGCTAAATTTTGGGGCGCAACTAAGGTGCATTATTGGAGATGTGCAAACAGCGTATTCAAACAGTTTGGGGGAAAGCATGTTGGGGACTGGAAGAGATCTGAATGTGCTACTGCAAACAAACACGAAAATAGTATTCCAAATACTCATTAGATGACAAATTCGATCCGTAATTGAGACAAAAATGAACAAAAGTAAAGAACCTAGATCCACCACTTTTTTGGACTCCGCGAATATTAACCTAAATCAATGGTCATCGAGAACATGACCTAAACCAATTAGGATATTGGGTAAAGAAATTAGAAAAAAACTTGCTTCTAACAGCTTCCTTACTTTGGTATCGCTCCACGTAAGGTAATTCAAGACAGTATTGGATTTACGGATTCCACACTGTGGATTCCGGAAATTAGTACTGCATTCTGGATTCCTTGTCTGTAGAATTCCAATTCTGGAATCCAATCGTCAGCATGATTCCGGATTCCTTGAGCTGAATTCCAGATTTCAAAAGGCAAGGATTCCAGATTCCGTAAGCAGAAGGAATCCGCATTACCTTACATGGGGTGATTGATAGAAAAGCTAAACTGGCAAAGGCCATAACACGTCGACTGCTTAGTGAATTACAGCTGACAACAGTCTCTCGTTCATTTCAGGCCAGACCAGAAACGCAATGAACGAATTACCTGGCGGGAGCTTCTCAGTACTAAGCGAGAAAGCCATTAGGCTTTTTAACGTGTCAAAAGCTGAAGTAGAAAAAGCAAGACGGTTGGGTAGAAGACTTCTTTCTCATCATCTACTCAGTAATGGAGACGCTTCAGGAGACAATTAGAAATCTGTTACCTCGCAAGCCAAATATTATTATTAATATTATTATAACTATGATAATATAATTACAATTATATTTATTATTATTATTATTATTATTATTATAAATTATTATTATTATTACCATTATTATTATTATCATTAATAATTTTTGTCCACCAGAATATCTTGCCTTACACATCAGTATAGATGTTTAGATCAAATTCGTAATTTGCGCTTAGTAATATTTACGCTTTATCAATATATCTTACATTGCCATGACGAGGAATTTTGATCAAAATAATGTAATCTTTATGTTTTCTTTTGAAAGCAATGCCGTTTGTCCTTGTTGTCGCTGTTGTTTGTATAAAGTAGTGACGTTAAAAGTAGAAATAAGAGGTAGGTCGCAGAGATTAAAAGCGCAATCAATACGTAATATACAGCCTTCGCGATTGAAAGGCAGTCAGGGTTAACTAATTATAAGGAGAACAAAACAATTCCTAGCAAAAAATTCGTCAACCTACCTTACACTCCTGAATGGCTCATCACTAATTCATCCGTCTCTACAGTTACCGCGCGCAGGTCGCGATGACGAGCCTGGGGCCGATGATCTAGAGCTTGTGGCGTTGAATCACAGGCGAGAACTATAACTTGCACGTGCCGTCCTCCCAGTAATCGGGGTGCACACTGTCGTGGGCTGAGTTTTCGGACGCCATAATGTGGCTCCAAATAATTTTTCAAGTTTCAGCTCTGTATGTGTTGAGTTTTTCTTTCGTTCGATAGGAAGCTTAAGCAACGACGACGGTGACGTCAACGAGGACGGCAAAAAAGCAATAGGTTTAGATTGGCAAAAAAACGCCTTTGCACGTGCATCGCGTTTTTTTGTGTGCATTTCTTTGTAGTCGTTGCACGACTACAACGTGAAAATGCCTAATTTCACGTTTTGTCGAGGATGGGAACACAAAATAACAATTTTCTTTTTCTTTTCCTGAACTTTGATACAATCCTTTAGAATTAAACGAGATGGAATAAGCGCGATAGTCAGTCAGCGCGAATTCACCTTTAAGTGACGTTTTCGTAGCCGTCGTCGTTGCTTAATCTCCCTATTACCTCGCGCACTGATTGGACGAAATAACCTTTCCTTGCTAAAGAGTACACAATATTTTAAACTTAGTAGCTTCTTCCTGGTAAGAAACCAGCATTACGTTTCATAGGATTCGAATAAGAGTTTTAATAACATGTTAAGTCAAGCTGATTAGGATTATAAGGAAATATGTTCGTGATTTGGAGTAAGCGTCTGAAGATTAGGATTGAGCTATGCCTTAGACGAAGATAATGAAAAAGACTGAAATAATTAGAACTTAAGCTTGCCCAAGATAAAGATTCACATTCAGATTAAGTTAGGATTAGGATTACGCTGAGGTTTTAGAATTAGGGTTAAAATTAGGATTTTAGGCTTATTCTCGGTGTAAAAACCTGTAAAACTCGCCAGTGACGTAAAACAAAGGAAACAAAGAAATCACCGCAATAGAACCTAGGAAAACTACAGATGCGAGACAAAGAAAAAGGTTCACAGGTTCTTACACTGATTGTGCAACGATAAAGGTAAGAATTAGTATCAAGCAGGAAATTATTAATTTGGATTTTGATTAAAGAGACCACTTTTAATTGCAATTTGTGCACAGTTATAACGGAAGCTAGTTTCGATTCATTAGTAAGCCTGGGCTCGTGTTCTGGAAACTGTGGTATTAGATGACATAGAAAGTCCTGTAATTTTCATTCCTTGAGGAAATATTCTAAGAGAGCTATCTTAAACAAGTGCTCTTTAGTTTTCTCTAAAGTAGTCTAGGTGACCCCCTTATGCCGTATGATCCCAGCTTCTTTTCTTTCACAGATCACCACTTTTACTAACATTTATAATTCTTCGTTCTCTGCCTCAGAAATAGGATTTATAGGCTCGCTTTAATTTTTTGCCCACGTTTGCTATTCCCAAGGCAAATTAACAAAACAAGGTCCAGGAATTCTACGATGGTCAGTAAACTGCATCCAAGGAAAAGACCCATATTTCCTCCAATGTCAGCTGTTGGGATAAACAGTAACAATTAAAAATGGTAATAGGAGTGAGTGGAGTTCAATTCGGTCTGTAATCATACGAGTGACTAACAAATTCACATTTTCTAGCCACGCATGCAAGTCATTACTGATTTGGGCTGAAAAGTGAGATTTAAGCCACTGTCCATGGGATTTTTCCGCGCACCCTATCCGTTAATGGGATCCTGGACCGGGATTAACAATAATTCAGCCCCAGAAATGTGATTTCTCGCTCCGACCCATCCCTATTTAGAAGCTTCATTATTGTCGAGTATAACAACTCTGCTTATAATAGCATGTTATAATCACAAAAGCTGATGGGTCGTTCAATCATATTACTTACATCCGAAGGCATGGATATCATAGGACGGCTTTTCCCTTGTTACTTCTGTGACCACAGACTGGTAAAATACATTCAGCTGAAGTAAACGCTTCCTTCAAGGAAAAGTACGATCATTGAAGTTTTTCAACAAAATACGAGTGAAACTTACCGTCTCAGGCTCATGGTAACTGGACAAACAAAAAACTTAAGAATCCTTGTCGGTTGAAACACAAAGCAAACAAACAAACAAAAAGAACGTTTGAGCGCCTTGGCCTACGAGCAAGTTCTTCCGGGCGCTCCTTTTCCTCCCCGCCCCTAGAGCGCCTTAGAGCTTCCCCGCAGGCTAATGCTCTACAACTGAAAAGCCTCCTCAATTATTAAAGAATGTAATATCACTGGGTGACGAATTATTCCTTAATTCTGGCGCGAAATTTCAGCGTTAATTTGTAATTCACACTTGAAATGACAAAATAACCATGGCAACCTTCCGTACGTCTCAGTGCAAAGATGGCGACGAAGTTTTAAAATTTTACGAATGAAGATGACAGGGCATTAAAAGACGCTTTGCAAAACCCAAACACACGAAAGAACACATAAAGAAGGATTAGTTTGTCGAGACATTCTGAACTCAAGCCAAATTCAAGCTCTAAACTTTTGAGAGAGTGGAGTTCTCTCCGATCGATGCGATAAAACCAGGATAAACATGTCAAAAATACACGATTGCAATCGTAATTCGTCACCTCGCAAATAAAAGCTCGGGAAATTATTAGTTTTGTCCAAATTTCTAATAATTTCCCTCGCCCAAAACTCGGGAAAATTATTCTCTAAGTTCAACGAAATTATTCTCTAAGTTCACCAGTATACCATTTGATAACACATACTAGTCAACTTGACACCGTTGACCCCTTTTTTACAGACCGGTTTTCGTTTAATCGTCTGGTAAGAGTGGAAATGTATTCCGCCTCCTTTAGAATTTTAAGAATATGTATAGACAAAGTTGCAGGGTTAGACGACGTAAATTGTCAAAGCCAAAGGTGTTTACATGACATAGTGAAGGCACTATTTCAACAGGGAAATTTTGGGGTCTCTCACTTTGTATTCATCAGTAAACAACAAAACAGGGGGTCATGCTGCATATTTTGAGGTTATTACGTCAGGAAGCAAATTTTCATAGGAATAGTCTAGATCGTAGCCAGAATTGAATATGTTATTTTTTAGAGGACCCAGTCAACCGACATTTCTGCCACTCACCTCAATTCTGTTTCAATCTCATCATAAAACTCGGCACTTGCATTAACAGCTGCAGTGGCATTTGCTTGTTTAACAAGCATTGGAAGGACATGTCGGGAAGGGAAACTAGCGCTTGACAGTTGCTGATTAAAAGTTACAGTCTCACATTTTGTGGGACAATCACAAGCTGATTCGACGGTAGAGTTTACTACGAAAAGAAGACGTATATTACAAAAACAGATAACAACAACAAACAAACAAAAACATACACAGCAAAGGAGATTCTATACAGTTTAGATGTTTCTTTCTCGAGAGTTAGAAAGCTACTGGCCATTTAGTAAGCCATCAAAGTCTATCACATCTTAATAGCAATGATAGAATAATCCAAAATTGATGGAGAACTAATTCCAATGAACTGAATTAAAAAGCGAGATTAACGGATACCTCAGTTGATTGGAATTTTGGTAAAACGATTTTAAATGAGCTGAGGTGAGCCACTAACCTTCATCAGAAAGGACACAGCTGACAAATTTCCGAGGCCCACAATATCGAAAGGACTTATACTCATCTGTAAAAAAAATAAGACAATTGTCAACACTAGGACGTTGTTTTACACCCTTCGGCTTCAGGAGATGATATGATCCTTCTTCAATCAGGGGCACCCAACAACAATTTTCGGAAAATATCTGTTCGGAAGACGATTTGTGATCTAGAATTTTCGGAATATTTGTTGTAAAATTTCTTGCTTGCCTGCCTCTCCAAGGATTTTCGAACATCTAAAAAATGGTATGATTGCCCATTTTTAACGGAGTTTTACCCGTAAAAGGTCACCTAGAATTTTCGGGAGCCTTTTTTCTGGCTGAAATTTTCGAAAAGGTAAGTTTTGATCCCTATAATTTTCGGATCACTAGACTTTCAGCTAGGAAATCCGAACAGATAAAAAATTTCTAGGGGATAAATATATGCCTATATCTACCGTTTAAATACTAAAATACGTTTAACAATGCTATGTTTAAGTGGTTTTGAACTATATCCTCGTTGGGTGCCCCTGCGACGTCAAGTCACACTAAAGAGAAAAGTAAGAGATCCAGTTATAATCAATAGTTGCTCACCTAGATGGACCATGCCGAGGACTCTGCACTGACATCTGCTGATAATAAGCTTTGTCCAGCACTCCACAAGGCATGCGCTTTGGGAATAGTTGCTCGTGGCAGCCAGCTTCCGTTCACCACACTTTGGCGTATACGGAGGAGGAAGACGGATAGTCTAGAACAAAAACGGACAAAAAACAAAAAAAACAATGAACGAAAGCTCTCAACACCATTTCTTGAAAAACACGAAAACAACAGCGACTAAAACATCTAGCACGGGGCGCAGAGGAGCTATTTGTGTTGCAACTTACTTTACAGTTCATAGCCCGAACCGTGTTTGTTTACGGTAGAATCGAATCTGAATAGATCAAGCCGTCATACGATCGTGTTACAAACCTAGCAGAAAATTATCCAATGCTCCGGAAAACCACAGAAGGTATTAAATGACTGCGGACAAATAATAGCGATTAACTTCGCGCCTCGCTCGGTAAGCTGAGGCATATTGCCCATACCTTGTACCGCTGGACTCTAATCGTGCTGCTAAAGCCTGGAGAGATATCGATTCCATAATTCTCTACATCTGGCCAGTCATTTTGATCGTGAATCATAACGCGAAAACCAGTTCCTTCAAGCATGTTAAATGGCCCATAATACTGCTCAGGTTGTGCGTTGAGTTGAAGAAAAAGACCCTTGTCCCTTCCTGCATTGCTCTGGTAACGCAAGGCGTAACCAGGCTTTCCAGAGTTGAACGTGTAGCAGAGACCACGCTGAAAAAAAAATCATTGCGTCACATTATATTCAAGCAAGAGAGCATAGGGGTAGCGCAGTGGTTAAAAAACTACTGTGCCAGTATAGCCTTACTTTCATTTGCTCATACAGAGTCTTGCTTGGACCAAGTTTTCAAGTCTCAATCAACGTCCATCCTTATCATCCTTTTCAACAGGCGACAGGAAACAGTTCCAAAACCTAAATATACTCTTAAATAATAAAACTGGACTATTATTTTTGGAATTCAATTCATGCTAAGACGCGTTTTAACTTCTTAAAAGGGTAGCAATTAACGGGACATACCCCCCTTCAAAAAGGGGAAGGCACAAATTGCGTCCAATTTCATTGTTTACTGACAAGAAAAAATAATAATTTCAGTATGGCGGTGTATTGTTTAGACAGTTGCTTTTGTTCTTTTGTACTTGTACACCAGGGAGAGGGGAGGGGGCTTCACAACGAAAGTTTCGGATAAATTATATTCCGAATCTTTTAGCTTAAGCTATCACAAAGTGCGAAAACAGAAGCCATATTATGTAATGGGCTGGGAGTTTAGTGTGAATGAATAGGCCGGAATCAGCGCTTTATTAAGATATATCTGTATATATGTCGCAGGTCAAAATTAAATAAGAGTAACATTTTGTAACCTAGGTTGATTCTCTCTTCCCTTTGTCTCCTAGCCCTAACTGATGAATGATTGGGGCTAGGAGTTAAAAGGAAGAAAGCATCAACCTAGGTTAAGACATTTCAACCTGAATATATTTTTGACCTGTAACGTATACCTGTCTTACCCGTATAGACGTGAAGACGTAGAAGTCCTCCGGCTTACAAATTTTTCCCTGCGAAAAGCACGCTACCAGCATATCTGAAATGTTATGTCCTGCTCGTCTAACCTCTTTGTCCAGATCCAAACTAAAGGAATCATTTGTGTTATTATTAAAACCGCTATACAGCAAGGATTCAATCTCATCTAAGAACTTCTGGGCCTCAGCTCCCATTATTTTATCTTTTCGCATCATGTTCTGGTTGCAAATTGTCACTGCTGGAAATAAAATCGCATCTTCACGTTGCTGCTCCTTTATAGTCACGGAGTCATGTTCCAGAAGTTTGTTCAATCCATTGAGGCACTGAAAAGCTAGTATTACCAATGCCAGAATGATCAATGTCGCCCACAAAATGCGCCTGACAACAGAGCAGGACTCAAGAACGAAGTGAAATCCATGTAGAGTAGTGTAGCCAGCGAACTCGTTGACAAGTACGGATATTTTACTTTCTTTGCTGGTTTTTGATTCTGCAGCGTTATCTTCTACGCGGAATTCGTCCCGTGTCATTTCCATGATATGTCTTAGTCTGATAACAAGTTTGTCTCCAGAGCAAGGGCCTCGCGCCAACTTAAACCCCTCAAACCAGGAGATGAAAGAACCTTTACCTCTCTTATTAGCGTTCCCTTTTAGCACAATTAACAAATAAGGCCAAAGAAGGAGACGCTGTATGCGAGATGTAAATTCAAAATTCCCAGCTCTGAGATCGCTTTAGACTTCATAATTTGGGCACTATTCTGGATGAATATTTGCCAGCTTAAAATTAAAAAATGTGAATTTTTAATTACTCCCTGGAGTTTATTATTGTTCCTGATTGCTTGTTTGCTAGCTTTCTAAATTAATTTTGCTAAAAAACAAGAGAACGACAAGAAATTTGGCCACCCAAAACAGAAACATGTATACGGTGTATAAATAAGGAAAAATCAAAATAACATCAATTTAAATGAAGTACGGTAAAATTGTTTAATCCTTCGAAAAGCCAAAGTTACAATTATAAAACCATTTTATTGATTTTTATGGATCTTTTAAACTTAACTATTTGCTAAAATTTACGTAATATTTAAGTTCCTTACACAGGCTATTTAAAATTAGATACAAACATAATGCATCAGGTTTTGCGCTATTAAAAAATGGAGAAAAAGAAAAGATTTAAGGAAAGAAAAAAAAAGGAAAGGGTCTTTAAAACAGCGTTTAAAGCTGATTCATAGTATATTTCACGACTATTTGTATTCGCTTCCATTTTCACTCCAAAAACTAATTAACATTTAAATTAAACGGGATCACAGGGAAAAAGACATTTACATTTGGAGCTACTTAGTAATAGGGTTAAAGTCGGTTGCCAGCTCCTACAAGATCATATTTTACGATTACATAATACACATTATTTACGATTACAGTAAAGCAATTTATAAAACCTGGCAATGACGTCCACTTTTAATTAAAACTTTAATCGAAAATATACTATTTCTATGACAATGGAGCTTCTTCCGTTTGAAAAAATGTAAATGCGAAGTTTCCATACATAAGATAATATCGACGATTAGTTCCCGTTTAAAAAAACAATGAAAGTAACTTCAAATGTTAGCGTTTGCGTGACCAATTCCAAACTTTAATAAGGCTGCCGCCTTTTTTTGCTTCCGTGGAGTTTAATCGGATTACACTACTCGCTCGAATTGCATTTCGACTTGTACATTAGCTAATTTTCTTGCTGCAGAGGGTCTACGATATATTGTCTAGTTAGGTTCATACTGTCAGCAGTTTTCGCTTCTCATTATTATTTAATCTATCCATTGTTTGGGGTTATTCCCTGCTAAAGGAAACAAGTGTTACTTATGTATACTTTAAAATACAATTTTGGCACATATTTCTTATTTCGTAGATCTGCTGTGTTTAACCATGTCATTCCTGACATGGTTCCTAAGGAAAAAAGTATCCATTTTCATTTCCTAAATAATAATAAGAAGAAAACAGCAGTACCAGGTAAAACGCTGCTGAAGAGTTCTCATTGCATGAAGGGTAAAACAAGACTTAAAATTTAAAAGTACCTTATTGCCTCCATAATTAATTACTTGATAAGAAACAATCTCCCACCCTATATGCACGAAACTGAGTATAATTAAACTTATTATCCCTGCGTTTGGCCCTTATTTTAGCCATGTGATATTAAAATTGATTCAAATATCTTTAGAAATGGAGAAAAGGCACGTGACTAAGAGAATTTAAAAATTAATTCTTTCTTTCGCTGGGAGCCAGCGTAAATTCTTTCAAACTGGAGTGATGTGAGCCGACTTTTTTTTCTATAACAGTAAGGCCTTGCGGATGCAATTTGCAATCGTTGTAGTTTCTCTTGCTCGTGGGGTAGGGGAGGATAGGCCATGAAGGATGCTGTTGCAGTAAATCTGGAATACAGCTCAAGGAATGCGGAAACCAAGTTCCACGGACAAAGAATCTGAAACCTAGCACCTGGAATCCGGAATCCAATACTGTCTTGGATTCCCCTACATGGCGCGATATTTATTAATTGACACAGCTGTGGGTGACTGTCATCCGAAATCTTTGCTAATGGCGACGTTTCGTTAAAATTCGAGGTGTATACTGCCCCCGAACCCTTGGCTTATTATTTGCTTCGAAATTGTTCAAGTTGCCCTTTTCGGTTTGCGCATCAAAAGGTTTGGATCGGAATTCATGGTTTAAATATGGTCCTTCACTAGACGTTTCAAAGAAGACACTTAAACATGTCTTAATAACACAGCTTTTTTAGAGAACATTACTGTATTCCCCCATCACCCACGAGCCCTGGAAACAAGACTTATATTATATGTGCATATAAACTGTGAGATCATCAATTTATCTTAGGTGCACAGGTGCTGGTTTGAATAAAAATTAGCTGGGATTACGACCTTTTCATGCAAACTTAATAGTGGGCTACAAAAATGTAAAGTTAATTCGTCTTTCTTTACTTTTACAGTAGACAAATACGGTAGCTACGATAAGGGCATCAGCGGACAAAGACCTTCCAGAAATCCCCACGGGACAAGACAAAATCTGAGTCATCGTCATCGCAAAGCCACATGCCGACAAACCAGTGCTTCTGATTTGGGATATAAGCCACATAGTTTAATAGGCGCAGCTGTCCATTATATCTTGAATGACCCCATTTTCCGCCATTTGCCCAATCAGCACAGCGTGAAGCTAGTTCGGAAGTATCTCCTTCGAGGCGAACGTAAGAATTGCACGACGCTGGTAAGGTGTTAATTTGAGTACTGAAGTAACTTACCACCGCTTCTCCTCTGCCGTCCATAGTTGTTTTCACATGGAATGTCCTCCTTCCCTTTTTACTACAATGAAATCGCAGCTCATTAAATCGCAAATGCGCTCTTAACTGATTCATTGCGTTCGCCTCGATCCCCATATGGTTGTTGTCATAGTTACTGATTCCTCGGTAAGTAGATTCGGCCTGCCAGTTTGGCAGGGAAGAAGGGTCTTCAATAACAAAGTTGGCAACCATAAGCCAACCCCCTAAAATAATAATAAGAAGAGGAAGAAGAAGAAGAAAGGACATTACATAAATTATTATAAATTGTACTCACTTCCTGTCGTATCATTAGCAAGAAGCCTACAGTTAAGTTTGGAAACTAACATATCCTACAAGTTAGTTAGTTATCCGCTTGCAGATAATAAAAAATTATTGGATGAGGTTTTTGTAATATCCGGAATAATCAAGGTGGAGGTAAGCGTTATCAGCCGAGCCGAAAGCCGAGGCTGATAACACTTACCGAGACCTTGATTATTTACGATATAACCAAAAACCGAATCTAATAATTGTTTTATTATACATTGTTTTGAAGAAAATAACGACAAACACTCCGTCGCAAGGAACATAAATTGATGCAGCAGATAACTAACTGACCTATAGGTTGCGCTGATTTCCAAAATTCGCTGTAAGCTCTTAGCCAAAGAGAAGCCGATGGTGAGTTTCCATATATAATACGGTCAAACCTCCTTAATTCGGACATCAAAGGGACAGAACCAATTGTCCACTTTACAGAGGTGTCCGTATTATAGAGGAAGGGAATGTATGAGTTTTGGCATTTCTGGGACCAAACAAACTGTCCGTAATTGGGAGGTGTCCGTATTATAGAGGTGTCTGTTAGGAGAGGTTAGACTGTAATTGGACTTATCTGTAGGTTGCGCATGATTTTCATGAGCGATGTCAAAATACTTGTTCCGTGGGACGGTGTGTTTCAAAACATCACATTCGGTTTTTGTAGTATACTGGATAATCAAGGAGTCATAACACTTACCGAAACCTTGGTTATTCGTTATTACGGATATCACAAAACCACAACCGTTTTTTTAATTTCGTATATACCAAGAACACAAACACACACCCTTTCATAGCCACCTTTTCATAAAGACCACATTTTTCTGACATAAACGTAGTCATTTTCGTATCTGACACCACGCTAATAGATCGTTTTCACTGTCACGCAACAAAAAATTAAATTGGAAACCGTCCAGTGGAAGAAACCAAGAAAATGAAATGTTATAAAAGACTAATATATAAACAATTTTGCCAAGTCTCAGGTCTTTGTGGCCCATAGTTTCGGAGTTATTTGGCGAAACGTTTCACGCACCTTTGTAGAGCTTTGTATGGAGACGCCATATTGGTGCACTGTTTCGGTGCACCAATATATATGGCCGCCGGAAATCAACAAAAACACCTGGAGTTTACTTTTTCTATGAAAACTCTTTCTTTTCACTCGAGAACTAGCGTACGTTCGCATAAACATATCTTCTAATACTTGAAGTGGTTATATTGCTGAAAGTCAAGAGGAGAGACTTTTTTTTCAACGAGACAGCATTCCTATTTTGGTGTCACGCACTGTGAAAACTCGGAAGTTCAAATTGCTGTATTTTCGAAATGAAACATGCTACGGAAATGGAAACTTGTACAACGATTTACTTTTTGTTTATCTTCAACCTAGTGTAAGTAAGAATTCGTAAAACCTCGCTATTTTGAGTTAACAATTTGATGACGTCACAGTGAAAACCATCTATACAACCACCCGTCAATAGGACAAGAAGTTCGTGGCTCAACAACGGTCGCATTAACGGCGTTCCACAAAAAAAAACAAACAAACAAACAAACAAAAAACCATCAACTGCAACAAAAACTGAGGCGAAACAGAAGAACGGAAACTTCGCTAAAATAAAGGGGACAACGAGAAGACTTTATTCTCAATAATAAAATGGCGATTGTATTTTTGTGGGTGGAATAATGTGATTTAAAATGGGAAACAAGTCGTGCTATTTATTCTAGACTTTTTACCCCAAACTTCCATGAACATATATTTCTTTACCAAGTTTCGATGCTCTGGTCTAACGCTTTAGTCATCGAAGTCAGTTAAGTATAGGCTTAACAATAAAAAGAAGAAAAAACAGAAGAACAGAAAAGAACAAAACAATCATACATAAATACCAACAAGTACTAGATCGGGTACGGAAACAAATTATCACAGACCCACCTCCATCGGTGTTCATATCACAAAAGACCTTAAATGGATTGCCATTCCCTTCTGGGTCGATCCAGTATTCGCCATTTCCCCTTGAATCTCCTACCTCCAAAATATGTTGGCAAGACTTAGCAGCATTTACGGAAGATCCGAACATAGCTAAGATTGAACGCAAATATTAGGCAAAGAAAATGAAGATATCTAGTACTAGAAAAATGGAGAAAAAAGAAAAACGTACCACGATCTGGATTCTCAGCGAAAATAAAGCTCTCGTCGAACTTCAGTTTTTCGGGTTTGGAACGCCGCGTTTGATTATTAAACTGGCAAATCTTGTCAGCAAGCTTGTAGTTCAAACTTTGGCAAGAAGGCTCCATGTTACACGCGCTGTAACAGGCGGCGAGTCGAGGTACTGTAAACGACTTGTACACATGATCAAAAAGGACCAGGCCGTGCTCTGTGCGACTCGTGACTTTACACTGATGCCCGTGAGTTCGTAATATCGATATCAAGATGATAGTGACTTGGCTAAAATTCGAAATCAGCTCCATCAAGCAAACTTTATAGATCTCAATTTGACTGTACTAAAATGAATAAGTGATCGAAAGCTTGTGTCATTTAGATAGCCAAAATAATACATTATTTATAACACTAGTAACATATCAATAGCTCTCTTAAATAAGACAAGCTCCCGGTAAAGTAATTGAAGTACAAGTTCCTTTAATATGGGGTGTAAGTTCAGTAAGTAGGGTTGACAACTGAGCATGAAATACTAGCAAAACATTGCACATATAATCGGTATTCTGTTAATTCCGTAGCAAAACATGCATCTGGTGTTTTCGACTTAGAATGGCGTATTTTATAAACAGACACAGCTAGGCCATTGACAAAGTACAACTGTTTAATTATTTGTGCATCATCCTCAAGGCCAGTTAAATTTATTCGACAATGATGAAGAAAGGGACATCTGTACAATAGGCATGCTGCCTACACTAATGAGCAAACATTTCAATACAAAGAATCGCATTTATTTATGTTTTTTTTTAGTTTGCCTAATTGGGTTGCATTTATTTCTTTTCCTTTCGTTCTTCGTTTATCCCTATATTTCAGGGGTCTCAACAAAAAAAAAAACAAATAAACAAAAAAAAAAACAGACAGAAATGAACAGATGAACAAGAAAAAATAACTAAATAAATAGAAGGATGAAGGAAGAGTAAGAGATAGGTAAGTCATCATGGACTGGAAAAAGCAATGAATGCGACTAAAAGGTTACCATGAACTTTAATTTAAATACATGTATATACATAGAACTTGTTTTTACATTCGCCTACCTTCACTTCACTTCTGTCCCAACACAATTTGTAACTAAGATATCAATTATAAAATTCTCTAGAAATACCTGACAAGAATTGCATTTTTACTGACAGACTGCTATCCAGTTACATTTCAAAACTAGTCTCTACGTGAAAGCTTCGATTTGAGACAGTCCTGGGAATAGTCGCACTGGTGTGACGTCGTCGTACCCGTGACTTAGGAAAACGCAGAAATAAAAGAGTTTCTTCCAACGTGGTGGCCTCGACCTGAGACTGTCTGACATCCGGTTGCACCACTAACACATATCGACTAAAAAGAGACAAAGCAAATAAAGTCTGAACGTGGGTGCCGCGTGGTCAGGATCCCCAAAATTCAAATTCTTGAATGCAGAGGGGCATGGGCGGGGGTGGGGGCGGGGAGGAGAGGGGAGGGGGAAAGGAAACCTTTTCATGCTTGCCTCCATACGCAGCTGTGCCTGTTAAAAGGCTTAAGGGAGGTGAGGGGGGGGGGACCTTTTCCATACCTGCCCCCACACGCAGCTGCTGCGCCGTTTAAAAGGCAATTCGCTCGACTCTCCTCTATTGCCGACCATATTATCTACTTTTTAAGAAAGCACTTTATTTGGGTGTCAATGAATTTAGCACGAAAGCACTAATTGGGGACACTATTTTTACGTCTCCTACGGGAGACGGAACCGCGACCGAGTCACGCGAAGGTCTAGCCATTTGCAGGGTAAAGGCAGTACCGTCATTTCTCAGTCATTTTAAGACCCTGAGTGTTGGTTCAGTCCCGGGAATTTAACCCGCGACTTACCGCTCTGCCGTCAAGCGCTCCACAAACTGAGCTAATCCAGCCACAGTTAAACTTTTCATATTTTCTGGAGAACCCAGCTTTTATGTATCGTTTAAACGCAGTTGCGCTGGTGATGGCTGTAGGTTTAACGATCGGGAAACACTCTCAAGCCCTGAACAGGAGGTTGGGAAACACATACCTGCATTTGCTCGGGATCGAGGCTGACGGAGGAGGCTTGGGCAAGACATTAGCAATATCAGACACGTGATGTTCACCTGATTTTAACGTTTTAATATTTCGAGCAAGTGGAGTCATCCCCAGGCCACCTGATTGCGAGTTCAGTCTGAGACGATACGGCTGTTCGTTTGTCAACTCTTGTTCTTTTATAAGTCGCGTTTGAGGCTGATCCCGCTGGGGGAGGGGTGAGGCCGTGCGTGTTGTAGCAGCAGGGGGTGGTGTGATGAATTCGATCACGCTGTCAGGTTTAGATAACGTGTCTGGAAAGAAAGACGTAGGAGATTTGTTCACTTTTGGCTAAAAACAACTCGGAAAATGAACATCAAGAGTAAACTAACAAAATCTGCGCATATAACTGCATCTTAATCTCCGTCCTCCTCCGAGCAGCTAGTCTAAAATGTCAGCCGTCTGCACCCCCTAACCCCCCTCTCGCCTCCGCGCCCCACACGGATAAGGGAGTGGAGACGGCTGAAATTTCAGACTACCAAGCATGTTGTCGAGTCGGAGTTAAAAGCCGGATCTTACTTTCGCGCGTTCATCTACTGTCTTCATCTGGTCCTAAATTGACATTAATCACATCCCTAGCCCGACAATTATATCTTTAGTGCGTCACGACAGTTATTCAAAATTGAATTATTTACTATATTTACTAAAACGTGTCTTCGAGCATTAGAATTCGTTCAAAAAATAATGACAACAGTTGAGTTATTTAAGTCTATATCAAGGCTTTGGAACTGTTTCCTGTTATCTGCTACTACAGATGGCAGGGATGGACTTGAAATGAAACTTCTAAAAACTAGGACAGTTTTTGTTTGTTTGTTTGTTTTGTTTTGTTTTTGTTTTCATTTTGTTGTTTGTTCGTTTTTTAAAGTTTTAATGAGAGCGCATACGTACGTAAGTCACCCAAAAATATATTATTAGTAAGTGCTACCTTCATGATATCTTCTTCATACCTTTACTAGACTGCAAAACAGTCCGAATTTTGGCGTGTTCAAGTACGCGCGAGCTGTCAAACAGAAGGTCTGGAACGAGGCTCGCGCGCTTCGCGCGCGTACGACTCCTACGCCACGCTTTACCGATTTCTTTACCGATTTTGAGAAAAAAAACCGACTGTTTTGCAGTCTATACCTTTACGGGAGCATTTCGTGTCTGTTTAAAGGAGCTTATTTATAACTTAAGTACGGAATTTACCTAAAACGGCAGTAACCTTGTGAG